CCTTTCTAACACCCTGCCTGTTCAAGAGGGTGTCAAAGATCCCATGGCTCTATTCGAAAAGAGAAGGAGTTCTCTCTCCTGGAATGTCTTGGCCAACATTCCTCTACACAAACAAAATTGGTCACTTGCTCCAGGGCGGTTTGTGGGACGCCGCTGTGCGGACTTGGCTGCCATATTTACCCACGAAATACACAAGTCAATCCACTTGACAGTAATATTCTGTGAAGCTATTTTTAAAACGTCTCCACGACATAACAAGGCGACGTATCAAATGCCAGATACTTATTATTGTTCCTTAAATTCGGAATGGACAGCTTTAGGCATAGCCTTGAATTCATTACTCGCCCATCACATATACGTCCGGGTTAGCAATGGGACCACTTACCTCGTGGACCTTCCTGTAGTGCTGTTTGAGTGTCTGCACGGTGCGTGCTGTGAACTCGCAGCCCTCAGAGCTGCAGTGGTACGTGGGCTCATCACTGTGCGTTTCGATGTGCTTCCGCAGATCATATAAGTTCTTAAAGCTGTAAGTGGCAACATAGGACTGGATGAGAAAAGCAAAGGAGGAACAGGACTGCTTCCATCCCTTCCTCTTCCATTGGAAAAGCAGTGAGTCACTCAGGTGGTGCTGTAATTCAGTGGTTAGCATGCTCGCCTCACAAGTGTAAGGATCTGGGTTCGATTCCCAGGCGAGGCAAACCTTAGGCAAGCTTGCTTGCTCTACACGGCTGTTTACGCAGCAGTAAGTAGGAACCCGGTTGTTAGACGTTTGCTGGATCACTTTCTGGGGGTAATAATCCTTTCAATAAGAAAAAATGTGGTCACTCAATCCATGACTTATTTGTGGGACACTGCTGTGCGCAATTGACTGCTGCCTTTCGCCCACGTTATACAGTCAATATGTCAATACACTTTACAGTATATCCCATAGAATCGCTTTGAGACGTCTCAACGACGCAATAAGGCGCGACATCAAAAGTAAGAATTATTATTGTTTAATATTAATATTATTCAGGCCCTCTCTCCTGAACCAGATCTCGGTAAATTCTGTGATTCCACTTCAGGGAAGCCAGCTTCCTTGTGTAATGAAGATTCGTGTCATGGTGGTACATAGTAGGATCACCTCAGCAAGCTGCAGCTTGTTCAATCTGATCCTCCCCCGCAGATGCACACAAGTGAACGAGCGCAAGACAAAAAAAAGCCATTGCTCAAAAGGGGGCGGCCTAGCTTTGCACCAATAATCTAATTCAGTCTCAATTTGGAATTTTTCTGCAGTCAGCAAAAGCAAAAAGAGTTCTGAGAACCGGCTTCCAACCGCAGGCTGAATTTAAGACGTTTCCACAACCCAACAGCAACAAATTGTATTATATATTGCGGGGTTGGCCCACAAATACCAGTCACTCCACTTTACAGTATATCCCGTGAGGAAGCGCTTTCAGTCGTCTCAACGCCGTGATGAGGGGCGGTATCAAATGCCAGGATTTATTATGTACGCCCTTACGACGGGAGTGCTTCACAGTGGCGTGGTCGGGTGCTGGCAAGGGGAGACTGCAGGTGCGGCTAAGTTTTAAGGTGGGATTCAACAGAGCGGGTTGAGGCAGGGAGATCCAGAAGTTAGTGGCATTGTGACTGAAGGCCCGGCCACCGATGGTGACGGGGGGGAAAAGTATGGCTACGCAGTAGGCCAGAGTTACCTGAGCTGTGGGAATGGACAGGGGAAAGGGGGAGGAGAAAATCAGAGAGATGGGGGGTGCTTGGGCTAAGACTGTGAGGATTTTCACACCTCAGTTCCGTGCCAGTTTGCTGATCGGATCATGTGCTAAGTTTGCTGATCGTGGTTAGGGCGTGTACACCTACCTCAGACTCACAATCCTTCTCCAGTGAGTGAACCCTGGCTGGTAAAGTGGAGAGGTGGTAGTCAAAGAGGGCATCACCCACAGGAAAGTAGGCAGACGATACTGAATGCCCAACCAGAACAGCTTGCATTTGTACAGTGAACCTCACATAAGTCGCATCACTTGGGACCAGACCTTTAATCTGACTCATGCAAAGTTAGGAGTTACGTCAAACTTGGCATTGAATATAAACTCTGAACGGGACTTGGGCAGATGTATGACTTGGGCGAGCACGGTCCAAAGAGAGAGGTCTTCAGGTGCGACTTGAAGATGGGAGGGTGGGGGGGGTGGCGGGTCGAGGTGGAGGAATGAGGGAGAGTCGAGAGGGGCGGATTGGAGACTGTTAGCGGATTATGCCCCAGACTCACATTTGAAGCACGGTCATTTGGACAAGACATTGGAAAGGTACCGGCATTCCTGAACACTGAGAACATGTTAGCCGCTTCAGGAGAAGAGGATGCAAATAAATTACCAGCTGGCTGTTCAGAGTGACACACGTATCAGAAAGGTGCTTTCACAAGCCACAAATGGCCCCAACAAAGCCAGGAAGTAGTGCTAGACTACGGGAAGTGTGCTGCGGCGCTCTCTCTACCTGTTCTCACAGAAGTCACACGGGTACGGCCTCTCGTCGCAGTGGCGGAACTTGATGTGGGTCCTGAGGGAGGAGAAGGTGGTGCAGGTCATGTCACAGAGTGGGCATTTGAACTGGTTCACTGCGGAGACAAGGGGACACGTAAAATGATAATAATCCTTGCAGTTGATGTAACGCGTTATCACGTCGTTGGGACGTCTCAAACCGCTTCACAGAATATATTGTAAAGTGAATTTTGTGGGTGAAAGGCGCAGTCACAAACGCGCCGGCTGACTTACCGTGGTTTCGCACGTGGTCCCGCAGGAGCCGCTCGTTGGCAAATGTTTGTCACAGTGCTGACAGGGAAAGTCTTCTCTAAAGTCAAACACAACCACAGCAACTGTGAATAGTGACGCCACAAGTCCTGTAACTTTGAAGATGTTTGAACGCGTATAAAGTTCAAACGGCTCAAACGTGCTGCATAGGTAATTGCTCTCAAGTATAGCGACTGTGTATTTTCTCCCCAACACCCCCGTAGAGCTCCGTCCCGGAATCCCTCCGCCTCACCCCTTCCCTGCACACCTTTAAAATCCGCTTTAAGACCTATCTTTTCAACCACCTCCCATTCAGCTGTCTAAACCCATTGAGACAACCTCGCGATGTGAAAGGTGCTACGTCAATGTAAATTGCTGTTGTTGCACCTAGCTCAATTTCAAACAGGCATGAAGGGAATTCCAATATATTGAGACTCTACAGGAATGCTGGCCAGGACATCAGAATCCCACTCAGCTCCTGTTAACCCTGCAAGCCAAAGCCCCAATGGATAGGGTGGTCCTCGCTGGACAAGCAGCGGGAAAGCTTGCCAGACAGTGATATCAATGGCAAGCTAATGTGGTTTTAGCTGGTTAGACTCCAGGGATTCCCCCAACGCACACTCTGGGGTCCCCAAGCCTTGGCTCTTACCAACCTGCGCCTAAAATTTTCTGGAATTAGGTCAGCAGGATGCATCCCTCCAGTGAGAGAGAGAGTGCGTGTTCCATTCCAACAATCTATCTCTGGGATTTCCATGTGAGGGTGGATGCATGGAATTCTCAGTTTGGTTTGGATAATCTTAAGCCCGGTGATGGGTTTCCGTCAGACACCCGGCTGACCCCCAAATAAAGAAATTGGGAGTAACTCTCCTCTCTTTCGAATAGTGCCAAGGACCTTTAACATCCAGCTGAACAGCATGGACGGGACCTCGATTTAACATCTCAACAGAAGGATTTCCGACAACTCAGGGGAGTTCCTCCCGCACAATGTACTGAAATGTCAGCCTAGACTGTGAGCTCAAAGTCTTGAACCGACATCCTTCCAAACTGCAGGCAAGTGTGCTCCCACTGAGCCGGGCTGACAGACACCAGCAAAGAGAAGTGATCAGAAAAAAAACAATGAATTAATGCTCCCATCCAATAACAGGACATTAAAAAATTTAATTTTCAATTCCCCTCCAGTACTTATGACATTTTATGGATAGTCCCTTACACCCCCAGGAAAACTGTATTTAGAGCTCCACCTCAATATAATAATAATCCTTCCATTTGATATAGCCCCTGACCATGTCGACGTTGGGAAAAGACGTTGAGACGTCTCAAAGCACTTCACAGAATATACTGTAAAGTAAATGGACTGTGTATTTTGTGAGCCAATTGCACACAGCAGTGTCCCACAAACACACGTGGATTAAGTGGCCAAATTATTATTTTTTTAAAAGAATTATTACCCCAGGAAAGCGATCCACCAATCGACTAACAACCAGGTTCCTACTTACTGCTAGGTAAACAGATGCGTGTGGATTAAGGGACTTGCCTTGGGTTTCGCTGTGCCAGAGAATTGAACCCGTGTGCTCTCTCGCACAACGTGAGCGTGCTCTAAGACCACAAGACTCCCTTAAGCTTAAACAAACTTAAACAACCACGCTCAAGTTTTATTACCCCTTCAGAACTATGGCATTTTCAGGACGGTCCCTTACACTAAAATTCAAGAAATGTGGGAGTGGGTGGGAACACATACACACACTGAATTAGGAAACTCAATGGTTGGATAGAAAAGATTGACAATAGTTAAAGTGAGATGAAGGAAGAGCCCTTTAAATCACCTGTTCTCGGGAACTGAGATAGCTACGGGGGGGGAATGTTATGTGGTCCATTGAGCAGATCACTTTCAATATTTAAGTGAGGCATAAAGAGATAAAGTAAAATAACAAATACATGAGCTCTGTTGGACAAGTGATGTTCCTTCTTGCACGTTCAGAAGCCAGCGTGTTTTCTCACATATAACAACGCCCACACACTGTGAATTCCTTACCATAATAATAATCCTTACGTTTGATACAACACCTATCGTGTCGAGGGGAGGACACCTCAAACTGCTTCCCAGGATAAAGTGTGTAATTTGAAGGCAAACACAGCAGCTAATTTGTGCACAGCAATGACCCGCAGAGAGCCATGAAGTCAATGACACATTTTATCTGGGGGATTGTTGGCTTGAGCTCCCTTCTGTTTCCAAATATCTTGATCATGAACCTGAACAGGCACAGTTTAATGTCTCCTCCTAACCACGGCACCTCCAACAATGCAGCGCTCCCTCAACAACAACAACAAGATTACATTTGTATAGCGCCTTTCACGTCAGGAGGACTCAAGCAGTGCATTGGAGTGTAAGCCAGGACTATACGATGTGGGGCTTCATTCCACAACACAACCTTCTGACTCATGACGTAAGATTGAGTGACTAACTGAGCCAGAGGGACTCCATTTACAGCACAGGGGTCCCACAGGTTAGAAGGTGCAATGTTATTTATTTCCAAATCATCATTATCCTATTTTTTGACTGTGTTGTTAATTTAGATTCTGAATTGTGATAATCCTTGCGCTTAATACAGCGCCTTGTGCCAATGTGGCCTTATCCCAGACCTGATGCAAAGACCTGATTCGAATCTGCCACCCAAATAAACCTAACACCCAAAACGAAAACAGAGGAACGTAACTCGAGCCTTATCCCTGTAGATCTTAAAAGAAAATAGACGTTCTCTTCTTTAAGCGAACTACCCCGCTTGAAAGGCGCCCCATAAATGCAAGCTATTATTGTTGTTGTTGGATAGCACTGCCTTTGGGTCAGCACTGTGGCCATCCGTGGAGTCCTGTAGCTCAGTGGTTAGAGCATTCGCCTCGCAAGCAAGAGACCTGGGTTCAATTCCCGGGCAGTACGAAACGTTGGGCAAGTTTCCTTACTCTACACCCCTCTGTTTACCTAACAGTAAGGAGGAACCCGGTGGTTAGTCAATTGGCGGATCGCTTTTCCGGGGGTAATAATTCCTTCAAAAATAAATAATAATACATTGGTCACTCAATCCACGACTGTTTGTGGGACGCTGCCGTGTTTCGCCCATAAAATATAGTCAATTCACTTTACATTCTACTCTGTGAAGCGCCTTGAGAAGTCTCGATGACATAATAAGAAGCTATATCAAATGCAAGGATTGTTATTCTTATTACTATCATTTTAATTATTATTATGATTTTATCGTGGAAACGTCTCAAAGCACTTCACAGGATTTTACTCTAGCTGTAGGGACTGTGGTGTGATAATAATCCTTGCATTTGATATAGCGCCTTTACATGTCTTTGAGATGTCTCAAAGCACTTCAGAATATACCGTAAAGTGAATTGACTGTATATTTTGTGGGAAAACGCAGCAGTCAATTGTGCACATCAGTGCCCCACAAACAGTCATGGATTGAGTGACCAAATTATAATTATTTATTTATCTATCTTGTGAAGGGATTATTACTCCCAGAAAAGCGATCTGACAATCGACTTAACAACCAGGTTCCTGCTTACTGCTAGGAAAACAGAGTGCGGGGGGGGTGGTGGGGAATAAGGAAACTTGCCCAACGTTTCACACTGCCCGGGAATTGAACCCGGATCCTCTCGCTCGCGAGGCGAGTGCTCTGGCAACCACTGAGCTACAGGACTCCACGGTGTACAAGTAGGCGAACGCGGTAAAAACGGAGACTGACGTTGGGAGCAGCATGTAATACTCACGCTCGATGGAAGTCTGCCGGCGGACGTGGTCGTAGAACTTGGTGTTGTTGGAGAACATGCCCCCGCAGTTAGGGCACGAGACGATTTTCTCCTGGGTGTGGCTGCGCAGGTGCTCCCGCAGCTTAAACTTGACTCTGAAGCAAGCGTCGCAACCTGCAGCGTTAGCAACACACTCAAATAAAACACAAGAAAGAGGAGCAAATCCGACCTTCACTCAGGCCAGGGCTGGTGGTGGTGGTGGTGGTCAAGAGAGGGTCCAAGTAACACTGACTACAATTTATACAACTACAAAACCACAACAGTTTGCCTTTGTACTGCAGCCTTCGCGTAGGATAAGATCTCAGAGTGCAGCCCGGTGCCAGGGTTGGAGGCCGAGCAAGGGAAAAGGGGAATGGAAGTGAATGGGGGGGGGGGGGTGACCGTAAGCACGGTCAAGGAGGAAGGTCTTCAGGCGTGATCTGAAAAGATGGAGGGGTCAAGGTGGAGGGATTGAGAGAGAGAGAGAGCTCCATAGTTTCAGGGCATAGTGGCTAAAAGCAAGTTGTTGCATTTTGTTGCGGAGTCCTGTAGCTCAGCGGTGAGAGCGCTCGCCTTGCAAGCGAGACACCTGGGTTCAATTCCAGGCACAGGGCGAAACCTTGGGCAAGTTTCCTTACTCCACACACCTAATAATATTCCCCTTAAAAAAACAAAACAAATAATAATAATTTGGTCACTTCAACCCACGACTGTTTGTGGGACTCTGCTGTGCGCAATTGGCTGCCGAGTTTAGCCCACAAAATAAACAGTCAATTCACTTTACAGTATATTCTATGAAGCGCTTTGAGACGTCGAGAAGACGTGAAAAGCGCTATATCAAATGCAAGGATTATTATTATTTTACATAGCTCTACAAGAATTGTGGGAACGCCTTCAATTCAGTCTTAATAAGCGCTCTGAGATGCTACCCGCGTGACAGGCGCTGTATAAATGTGAGTCATTATTAATTTGGAAGTTGGGTTTCTTGCAGTAATTAAAGCAAAAATTCTTCTAAAATTCTAGAAATCCTCGCTTTTGATATTTCAGTTCGCAGGACATCGCTGTGTGCAAATTGTCTAAAGAGTTTGCTTACAAAATAAATAGTTATTACACTCCACAGTGAAGCTCCTTGACACGTCTCGTCAACATAATAATCATCCTTTCATTTGATATAGCGTTTTTCACATTGCTGAGACGTCTCAAAGCGTTTACAGAATATGGTGTAAAGTGAATTGACTGTATATTTTGTGGGTGAAACGCGCTGAATCCCACAAACATTCATGGATTGAGTGACCAAATTATTATTTTTTTGGAAGGGATTATTATCCCCGGAAAACGATCCGCCAATTGACTAACAACCAGGTTCCTACTTACTGTTAGTTTGGACTTAGGTATGAAAAGCTGCTAGATCAAAATAATTGTTATAATAAAACCTGCATTCGATATTGTGCCATTCACCTCGGGAGGAAGTCTCCAAGCGCCTACGCACGATTTGCTGCAAAGTGTAGCGACTGCATATATTTTAGCCAAGTTGACTGAATTCAAGAATTTTCCAAAATTGTATATTTTAAGATAAAAAGTCTTGTCTGGATCCCAAGATGAAATCGACAGACTTAATTACTCTCCCTCTGAATGCGCAATTCTGAATTACCTTTCCAGCAGCAGGGAATAGTTTTGTTTTTGTTGGGAAGAGTCTCTCTGTCAGTGCATTGGCCGTGCATGTCCACATGCCGGTAAAACCATTCTGGATTATTAAAGGTACTCTGCGGAATAATAACAATATACTATTGATTTATTATTGCATCTGCAGTTGAGATAGCGCCTGTAACAACACAATATCAATAACAAAATTACATTTGTAAAGCGCCTTTCACGTCGGGAGGACGTCCCAAGACGCTGGATGATAACATCCCAAGCGCAGTGTCCATGCATTTGTAGGTAAACGCGGAAGGCAATGTGCAGCCAGCTACGTCCTGCCATCACACCAGCCCTCGTCAGGCACCACTGACTCCCCATCACACACACTAAACTCTGTATCCCCATCACACCAGTCCTCGCCAGGCCCCACTGACTCCCCATCACACACACTAAACTCTGTATCCCCATCACACCAGTCCTCGCCAGGCTCCACTGACTCCCTATCACACACACTAAACTCTGTATCCCCATCACACCAGTCCTCGCCAGGCCCCACTGACTCCCTATCACAGAACGGATCGATTTCAAGATCCTCAAACTCATCTATTATTATAATAATAATAATCATCTATTATTATCATCATCATCTACCTTCACCCGGTGGCACCTCCCTATCTTTCTGACCTGCTTTCTCCCCACTCCACTACCCACTGCCCCCGATTGATGGGCTCTGGCTTCCTGCTTGTCCCTCATCCCCTCTGTTCCACCATCGGCGGATGCACTTTCAGCCAATACACCCCAAAGCTTTGAAACTCTCTCTCCCTCAATCCCTCCATTTTGCCCTTTCCTGCCCCTCTTTTGGAACACGACTGACGACATTCCTCGATGTAAGCGCAGCCGAATAGGAAGGTCGTCAGGCCGTGATCCAAAAGAGGGGAAGGAGGGCGCAAGACGGAGGGATTGAGGGAGAGAGTTCCAAAGCATCGGGGCATAGTGGCAGAAAGCGCATGCGCCGATGGTGGAGCGGAGAGGACGAAGGGACGAGCAGGAGGCCGGAGCGGATGGTAAAGTGGGTTGATTGGGTAATTTCGTGGACGTAGCCGTACTCACATCACAATGCTCCCACTGGCAGGTAAAGGTCTCAGCGATCTCGGGGATCAGGTTCTGGTTCTGACTCTCCAGCGAGCACACGGGGAGGTCAGACCTTAGCCGCTGCAGCTCACCCCCGAGGTACTTGAGCTTGGCGTGGTAACTGTGGTAGTTGACGTGCACCACCAGCTCGTTAGGGCCCTCCACCGCCAGGAAGCCACAGCCCCGCCACAGGCACTGATACTCGTCTGCAATGAGAAGGGAAAAATGGCAGGGATGCTGCTCCGGCTACGCAGTATACAGGGCCATCGCCAATACCACCTGTCCGTGCGCGATTAGGCACGATCTTTATGTAATCCTTGCATTTGTTTGAGGGCTTTGTCACGTCGTCGAGACGTCTCAATGCGTTGGCGCCTCTGAGTACCACCTGTGGCTAAAATTCTAATAATAATACTAATCCTTGCATTCGATATAGCACCTCATCACGTCGTCAAGAAGACTCTTGTGAAGCAAAGTGAATTGACTGTATATCTTGTGGGTGAAACGCGGCAGCCATTTGCGCACAGCAGTGTCCCACACACAGTGGGAGGTTAAACGACCAATTTTTTATTATTAACCCCAGAAAGTAATCCACCAATCGACTAACAACCGGGTTCCTACTTACTGCTAGGTAAACAGAGGCGTGTGGAGTAAGGAAACTTGCCTAAGGTTTTGCCCTGCCCGGGAATCAAAATCTGCCTGTGTGTGATTATGTAAATATTGTAATTACAGGGAATTCTTAGTTTGGAAGTTGCTGTGTGGAATTGACTGCCGCATTTCGCACACAAAATATACAATCAATCCACTTTACATTATATTCTAAGAAGCGCTTTGAGACGTCTCGAAGACGTGATTAGGTGCTATATCAAATGCAAGTATTGTTATTCTTAATTTTTTTATTATTATTTGTTCTGGGTTTTGGTAACTTCTTGAGGACAGGTAGGAGCGTGCATAGGGATTACGATGAAAGCAATGCGCTCGAGGCGAGGGAAGGTTTTCTTTCTAAATCAAACCTACATGAGAAATGCAGCTTAAAACAGGAGCTAAACAGCGAATCACTGCTGAGGAGGAGGTGGTGGTGGTTACGACAGCACTTAGCTTCAAACCGACCCCTGCTGTTTAAATTCAATGTGATCAAATCAGGCACAGTTTATACAAACTGTCCTTTTTTACAAGTTTGGCAGTCAAATTTCATTTTCTCTACTCTTCGTTTTCTCCTCTGGTTGAAGGCATGACTGTGGAGTCTGGTTTTGGGGTCCTGTAGAGTAATGGATAGAGCGCTCCCTTTGCAAGCGAGAGGACCTGGGTTCGAGTCCCAGTTAAGGAAAACCTTAGGCAAGTCTCCTTATTCCACACAACTCTATTCACCTAGCAGTAAGTAGGAACCCGGTTGTTAGTTGATTGGTGGATCGATTTTCCTTGGATAATAAATCGCTTCAAAATAAATATCTAAATAATAATAATTTGGTCACCCAATCCAATGTTTGTGGGACGCTGCTGTGCGCAATTGGCTGCTGCTTTTCGTCCACAAAATACAGTCAATTCACTTTACAGGATATTCTGTGAAGCACTTTGAAAGGTTTTGAAGGCGTGATAAAGCGCTATATCAAATGCAAGGATTGTTATTATTATATGATGATTATTATTATTATGACTCCTTTCTCCTTCCATTGACGTATGGTTCAAATCTCCTGAGTCACCTTCTGGAGTCTTGCTCAAGCAGCCATCGATTCATGTTGTATGAGTCTTGACGACGAGTGTCAACAGGTTACATGACCGCAGAGGATCTCGCAACCAAGAGCAGTTAGTTCTGGCCTCGTCTCAACCCTACCGTGAGGAGCTAAATAAAGACTGGGAGCGGGAAACTCTGACTGATTGTCCTTCCCTACTCTGAGTGCGGAGGCCAGCTTTAACCCTGTCCCGCTGCCCTGACTGAGATCAACTAACTCTGGTGACTCAAGATCCTCACTCTGGTCTTCAAATCCCTCCACTCCTCTGCACCCCCCTACCTCTCTGACCTTCTCTCTCCTCACAACAGTGCCCGTTGCCTTCACTCCACTGAGTCTGGCCTCCTCCTTGTCCCCCGAATCCTCCGCTCCACCATCGACGGCCGTGCCTTCAGCCACTACGCCCCGAGGCTCTGGAACTCCCTTCCTCACTCCCTTCGCCTCGCCCCCTCTCTTCCTATTTTCAGATCTCGGCTGAAGACCTTCCTTTTCGACCGCGCCTTTGGTCACCTTCCCCCCCCTCCCCCCGGCTCGGCCCCCGGGATCCGTTACTGTGAAGCGCTCTGAGACGCCGTCCGGCGTGGAGGGCGCTATATAAATCCAAGTTGTTGTTGTTGGATCCAGAACAAGGGGGAGTAATCTTAAAATTAGGGCTAGACCATTTAGGAGTGAAATCAGAAGCACACAAAAGGGTAGTGGAAATCTGGAATTCTCTTCCCCCAAAAGGCCGTGGATGTTGGATCCGTTCAACATCTTCAAGACTGTGATCAATAGATTTTTGTTGGGAAAGGGTATCAATAACAACAACTACAAATTTCCATTTGTATAGCGCCCTTTATGTAGGACAGCATTTTGGAGTGCTTAATCATATTCATCAAGGGATATGCGGCAAAAGTGGGTAAATGGAGTTAAAGTACATATCAGCCATGATTGAGTAGAATGGTGGAACTGGCTCGAGGGGCTGAGTGGCCTTCTCCTGTTCCTATGCATTAGACTGGGATTCAAACCTGCAACCTTCTGGTCGATGTGGCTGGTGCTGTACTGGGAGACAGCTTTCCTTACTCACAAGGTCACCAAGGAACTACATTGAGGGGACTTTTAAGGGAACCATGTTTAAGTTTTTAAGGTTCTTAAAGTGACAATATGCCTTCAGTACCTGAAACCATAAATAATAACAATAATAAGATTCTATACCCTAGAATTTGATATAGCATCTGTATCGCTGAAACATCTAAAAGCATTCCACGTGTATTTGCTATTAAGTGTGAACGACTGTATTTATAGGTAAACGGGACCTCGTTTCAACGTCTCATCCGAAGGATGGCACCTCCGGCAATGCAACAACCCCCAGCACTGCATTGAAGCGTCAGCTTAAGACTATGTGACCGTAAGACTATGACTCAAGAGCCGAGAGTGCGACCACTGTACCAGGCTGACACACAAGTAGTGATCGGATCAGGCAGGACGAGCTGTGTGGGGGGTTTACCTAACTCGCCGAAGCTGTCGTACTCGGTGAGGTGTTCCCGCAGGTGCACGGCGACATGATCGCAGAATTCCTCCATGCCCTTCCCCACAAACTCGCAAGCATCCCACTCGCAGGCCAGCGCAAGCTCCATGCACCTGAGGCTCTTCCCAGGCGCCATCCTCCCTCCAGCTGGAGTCCGGCGAGATCACGGCTATGGAATGAGCATCGCAAGCTGCAGAGGGGGAATATAATTGTAGTGATTCGCGATGAGGACTGCTCCAAAAAAATTGGCAATGACTGACAACAGCTAGTTTCATTTATAAATAATAATAACAATAATAATAATTCTTGCAGTTGGTATAGTGCCTTATCATATTTTTGAAATATCTCAAAACGCTTCACAGGATTTACCATGAAATGCACAAATGCGCATAGAGGTGTCCCACGAACAGCCATGAAACAAATGACCAACTTTATTTGGGAGACTGTTAGCCAAGACACTTTTTCTTTTCGAATAGTGCTGTGGGATCTTTAACGTCCACCTGAACGGGCAGACGGGGATTCGGGTTAATGTCTCATCCGAAGGACGGCACCTCCGACTATGCAACTCCCCACCCCCACCACTGCACTGGAGAGCGTCAGCTTAGACTATGTGATTCCAAGTCTCGACGTGGGATTTTAACCCAAAAACCTTCTGACTCAAGAGGAGAGAGCGCGACCACTGAGCCAAGCTGAGACTTGAGCACCAACATAAAAGAAACATCTCAAAGGTCTTTACAGGAGTCCTGTAGCTCAGTGGTTAGAGCACTCGCTTTGCAAGTGAGAGACCTGAGTTCAATTCCAGGCAGTGAGAAATCTTGGGCAAGTTTCCTTACTCCACACACCTAATAATAATCCCTCCAAAACCAAAAACAATAATAAATTGGTCATTTTCAATCCACGACTGTTTGTGGGACATTGCAGTGCACAATTGGCTGCCGCGTTCGCCCACAAATATACAGTCAATTCACTTTACAGTATGTTTTGTGAAGCGCTTTGGGACGTCCTCCCGACGTGAAAAGTGCTATATCAAATGCAAGGATTATTATTATTATTATTATTTACAGGAGATTAATTAGAAACAAAGTGAAGGCTATGGAGGCAAACAAGCCAGCAAGGTCCCTCGCTCACAACAACGAGAGGAGCCATCATTTAAATGAGCAAAGCAAGGAGCAAGGACTTTTTTGTTCGGTCAGTCGGCTGACTCAAGGGGAATCTCATTGCTACGCTTCAGAACCAGAGGGTCGATTTCAGTGAGGTTCCCAAGATTGAGGAACCCACAATATTTATCCAGGTTGTTTGCTGTTTATTCAATCAACAGTGCATTATAGCAATGTTCACTGTTTGTTTCAGGAGCCGTGGCTGGATTTCAAACTCACCTGACCATTTACCGCAGACGTTGCAACACTAAATCAGAGCAGGTTAGTCAGGGAGATGTTTACAAAATAACAATTACACAGGATGTAAATCCTGTACTAGAAGATGGATAGCTGTATTTTGCACTCAGTATTTCCAGCGAGGGTATGCGTCCACAAATTTACATTTGTCCACTCTACGTCTATACCCGTCCCTATTATACTCCTAAACCTGACCCCATTCTACCCCTAAACTGATCCTACTCTAACAACAACTATTGCGCCCTTCACGTCGGAAAGAGAGGTCCCAGGGCGCTGGACGGTCAGGGCTTTTTGGACCCGAGCTGGGAGTTGGGGTCGGGAGGGGGCTGGGGGGTCAGCGGGGTGTGGGTGGGTGGGAGGGTCGAAGAGGAAGGTCTTCAGACAGACGCCACTTGAAGGAGGTAAGAGAGGGGGGGAGGGGGGGGGTGAGGCGGAGGGATTGCGGGACAAGGGTTCCAGAGCGTGTGGGGGGGGGGGGGGAGGGGGGGGCAGAGATGCTGAATGCCCGACCGCCAACGATGGGGCGGGAAGCGCGGGGGAACTGAAGCAGGTCGGTGTCCGCCGGGCGGAGGGGGCGGGCGGGCGGGGCTGATACGGGGTGAGGAGGTCGGAGAGGTGGTGGTGAGGCTGTGGAGGGCTTTGAAGGTGAGGATGAGGGTTTGGTACTCGATCCTCTGAGGAACGGGGGAGCCAGTGAAGGACGGGGCCGGTAGGGGCGCAGCGCCTGGAGCGGGAGATTGTTATAACCCTAAACCTGACCCCTATTATAACCTCTAAACCCGACTCCATAATAATAATTAGGATAATAATCCTCCCATTTGATTAAGCGCCTTATCAAGTCGTCCAGACGATCCTAAAGCTGAACCCGACCTTAAACCTGACCCTATTACACCCTGAACCCAACCTTAAACCTGACCCTATTATATCCTGAACCCAACCTTGAACCGACCATAAACCTGACCCCATTATACCCTGAACCCGACCATAAACCTGACCCCATTATACCCTGAACCCGACCATAAACCTGACCCCATTATACCCTGAACCCGACGCCATAATAATCCTAATAGCCGACCGTATACTGAGCCGTGACCCCGAGCCTCACCCTGGGAGCCGCGGGGCCTCTCTCTGTCTCTCTGTCTCCGGTTGGACGCTCACGGCTCCCCGGGCCCCGTTACCATAACAACCGCGCGCCCCACCGGAACCCGCTTCCGGTCACCGCGCTCTCCTCTCGCACTTCCCGCCGAAATGACGTCGCCCACCCGCCGGCCGGCTCTCCGCTCGCCCATTGGCCGTTCGGAGGGGCCAGGGGGCGGGGTGGGGGGGGGGGGCGCGACTATCAATCACCTCGGTGTGCTGCGCTCGCCCGCATCGAAGATGGCGCCCATCACCCAGCCACCACCCCCCCACCACCACCACCACTCAATAGGCAGTGCCCGTATCAAAGATGGCGCCCATCACCCACCACCACCACCACCACTCACTCAACAGGCAGTGCCCGCATCAAAGATGGCGTCCATCACCCACCACCACCACCACTCACTCAACAGGCAGTGCCCGCATCAAAGATGGCGCCTGTCAAGCTGGCGCAGCGCCCACCGATGAGCAGCAGCAGCAGCGGGCGCCATCTTTGATGCTGGCGCAAGAATACAGCACCACCTTATTATTGGCTATTTAAAGGGTGGTCGCAGCATCTTAAAGCCCCTTCCCACCTCTGCCACCTGCTAACCCCGTATCAACCTGTCCGCCCCCTGGGCTCAGCCGCACGCGCCCCGCCCGGCCCGGCCCACCCACCTCCGTCAGGGGTCGGTCCTCCAGCCGCCCGTCCCCTGCCCTTTGGAACTCCATCCCGAAGGTGCCCTCCAACCCTTACCCTCCCCCCCCACCGCCCACCGCCCACCGCCCTGATCCCAACCCCCGGCTCGGGGTCTCAGTCCCTCAATCTCCAGCACGTTGAGAAGGTCCTCCCGACGTGGAAAGTGCTGTACCAATGTCATTTGTTGTCGGCGTTGAATCGGCCACAAAACTTACTCTGCAGTGTATTCTGTGCTGCGTAGGGGGCATTTTTCCATCGTGGAGGTGGCAGGGTCATTAAACCCGTTTTATAACTTTGGAGTTATAATAATAATAATAATAATCCTTGCATTTGATAGAGCGCTTTTCACGTCGGGAGGACGTCCCAAAGCGCTTCACAGAACACACTGTAAATGAATTGACTGTATGTTTGTGGGCGAACGCGGCAGCCAATTGCGCACAGCAATGTCCCACAAACAGTCGTGGATTGAAAATGACCAATTTATTATTGTTTTGGGTTTTTGGAGGGATTATTATTAGGCTCTGTGTGGAGTAAGGAAACTTGCCCGAGGTTTCGCCCTCTGCCTGGAATTGAACTCGGGTCTCTCGCTCGCAAAGCGAGTGCTCTAACCACTGAGCTACAGGACTCCACGGCTACAGGAGTTATTTTTATTTGAGGTATGATCAATTGCATTTTTTCTTTGGGGGGAAATCCTGGAGAGCGTTAGGGCCGCGGGTCAGTGAGAGTGTGCGTCGTCGGGGTAATGGCTGGAATCTAACCGGCTAAAACAGCGTAGCTCGCCATTGAGCGCACCGTCGGCCAAGCTTTTTGTCCAGCTTGGACCACCCGATCTGTTGGGGCTTGGGGTTGTAGGGCTAACAGGAATCGGAGTGAGTGGGAGGATTCCTTGCCCCCGGTGACTGGTCTGCTCTTCCGAGTCTTACTGATGAGCCCAACTGGGCTGTGCTGTCATCAGCGGGTACCCTGGAACGCCGCAGACCTGCCCAGCTCAGGAACCGCACCAGATACCACCACAGAGGGCTGGCTCGAGTCTGACATTCTGCTTTTTTTTTACTTTCAGAGGAACTGCGTCAAAGGCCATACGGAAATCCGGATGCACAACATCCGCAGCCTTACCCTTATCAAGCTCCCTTGTCACACCGTCGAAGAAAACCAGCAAATTAGATTGGCAAGACCTTCCCTTCGCAGACCCTACATTGGCTATTATTTATGATTTTATTTCTGTCCAGATGCTCCATGATTTTACCCTTAATAAGAGTCTCCATAATCTTACCCACCATGGACGTCAAACTTATCGGTCTGTAGTTTCCTGGGTCACTTTTGTTACCTTTCTTAAAAATGGGAGTAACATCTGCCTTTCTCCAGCTCCCCCGGCACCGCTCCAGTATTCAGTGATTTTTGAAAGATTTGTGCCGGCGTTTCTGCGACTTCTTCCCTTAGTTCCTTAAGGATCCTCGGATGAAATTTATCCAGCCCCGGAGATTTATTTACCTTAAGTTTACACAGCTGCTTGGCAACCACACAGTGATATGAATAGTGTTGCAACTTTTCTCTGCAATATCCTTGAGTTCTCTTTCCAGGTCGGATAGGTTTCCCGTCTCTTCCTTGGTAAAGACTGATGCAATAAACGTACTTAGCACTATTGCAGCTAGTGCAGCATTATTTGTCAGGTTGTCTCCCAAACCCACCTTCAATGGCCCTTATTCCATTGCTTGTTTTCCTATTCTTTATGTAATGTAAAAAGGTTTTATTGTTATCCTTCACATCTCTTGCCATGTTCAATTCAAAAGCTTTTCTTTGCCATTCTGATGCCTTTTTTGTATTCCTGGCACGCCGTCAGATATTGAGTCTGGCTTATTTCTGTGCCATTTTCCTTCATGGCCTTAAATGCTTTTCCCCTCCACTTTTATGATTTCCTTTGTAGCCCCGTCCAACCAGGCAGGAGTGCCTTTAAGCTGGGTACCTTTGCTTTCCGTGGGTACACGTCGTCCCATTGCCTTCGTAATCACCTCCTTGAAGCAACTCCACAAGTCCTGCCCTCCCATTGCCATATTTAAGTCTGCCGGGCCCACTCCCGACTGGACTTCTCAAGCGCACAAAGTCATTCCTCTTAAAATTTGCCAGTTTTGTTTGGGTTTTTATAACCTCGCCAACTCTTGTGATGTCAAACGTGACTGCACTGTGATCGTTGTTGCTCAACGCTTCTCCCACCTACGTCCCACCTACCCATGGGAATCCCAGAGATAGATTGCTTGGAGTGGAACACGCGCGCTCCCCCTGGAGGAGCGCGTCCTATTTGCCTAATTACCTAATTCCAGAGAGCGTTTAAGCGCAAGTTGGCAAGCGCCAAGGCTTGGGGGACCCCAGAGTGTGCGTTGGGAGTAACTGCTGGAGTCTAACCAGCTAGAACCACGTAACTTGCGGTTTTAGCTGGTTAGACTCTAGCAGTACCCCAACGTGGTGCTCTCAGTACCTCTCCCCTTCACCCCCTCCACACGCACACACACACACTTCTTCGGCCACCAACCCCAGTTCGGGTGCAAACCAGGGACTGTCCAGCATCTTGGGACGTCCTCCCGACGTGAAAGGCGCGGTATAAATGTAAATTTGCATTGCATAGGGTGTCCATGCTGGGAGTAGCACTGTGCAATTGTGCACTGTTTTTAAAGTCGGTGTCAAGCTGCGTAAAACTCCTCTATATCTTACGTCCGCAACTGTGATGTATTTCAACTCCCAACCACTCAGCAGTACCCTCTAGCTGCCCGAACATGGCACAACAGTCGGGTAATAAAATTACAACAGTGGAATTTACATTTAACAATAATAACAACAATAATAATAATCCTTGCATTTGATATAGCGCTTTTCACGTCGGGAGGACGTCCCAAAGCCCTTCACAGAACACACTGTAAAGCGAATTGACCGTATATTTGTGGGCGAACGCGGCAGCCAATTGCGCACAGCAATGTCCCACAAACAGTCGTAGATTGAAAATGACCAATTTATTATTGTTTTTAGTTTTGGAGGGATTATTATTAGGCTCTGTGTGGAGTAAGGAAACTTGCCCAAGGTTTCGCCCTCTGCCTGGAATTGAACCCGGGTCTCTCGCTCGCAAAGCGAGTGCTCTAACCGCTGGGCTACAGGACTCCACGTCCTGGATTTATACAGTAGCACCTTTCACAACGGAAGGAAGACTCAAAACGCTGGCTGGACACCCGAGTTGGGTGGGTGAGGTGGGAAGAGATGATCAATAGCGTGGTCAAAAAGGTTTGTCTTGACATAGATCTTGGATTCGGGGAGTGTAGTGGTTAGCACGCACGCCTCGCAAGCGAGAGGTCGATTCCCGGGCAGGACGAAACTAAGCAAGTTTCCTTACTTCGCAAGCCTCTGTTTACCTAGCAGTAAGCAGGAAGCCGGTTGTTAGTCAATTGTCAGATTGCTTTCCGGGGGTAATAATGGCTTAAGGAAATATGGTCACTCAATCCACGACTCTTTGTGGGACAATGCTGTGCGGAATTGTGTGCTGCTTTTATAGTCATTGCATTTATACGGCAAAATATACAGTCAATTCACATTACAGTATATTCTGTGAAGTGCCTTTGAAATGTCTCAACAAGTTGACAAGGCGCTATATCAAATTCAAGTATTATTATTATTATTACCAGGATTTTATAATAATACTTGCATTTGATATAGCGCTTTTCACGTCTTCTCGACGTCGCAAAGCGCTTCACAGAATAGACTGTAAAGTGAATTGACTGTATATTTGTGGGCAAAACGCGGCAGCCAATTGCGCACAGCAGCATCCCCGCAAACAGTCGTGGAATGAAAATGACCGATTTATTATTGTTGTTTGTTTTTTGGAGGGATTATTATTAGGTGTGTGGAGTAAGGAAACTTGCCCAAGGTTTCGCCCTCTGCCTGGAACTGAACTCAGGTGTCTCGCTTGCAAGGCGAGTGCTCTAACCACTGAGCTACAAGACTCAGTAGCATTTTAACTCATGTAAAGCATCCCACATTATTTTTCCTGTAACTTAAAAAAAAGAACCTTTATTGTGTTTTTTTGGGAGAGACTTCTATAATCACAAGCGACAGTGATAATGTCATTTCCCATCGAACCAGGAATTCTGAGGAAAGGCTGGGAATGCGTCAAATCATCTGCGCGTGTATGAGTGTGTGTGTATGAGAGACCGTGTGTGAAACCTCTGTGTGCGCGTGGGTGAGAAAGCAAGTGTGCCTGTGTTAGCTGTGTGACTGCCCACGAGTACGTGCGGTTACACAACTGGCGTGTGAAACCGTGCGTGCGCCCGCTCTGGGTGTGCTTGTGGGTGAGAGCGCACGTGTGTGTGGGTGAGTGGGTGAGTATGCGAGCCGTGTGTGTGACTGCCGATGAGCCTGTACGTGAGTGCATGATTGGGGTGTGTGTGCGTGTGTGTGTACGTGTTGTGTGTGTGTGTGTGTGTGTGTTGGTTGCGTGTAATCCAATGCTCAAGTGATGGTGAGGAACGACACATCGAGTTCCGAGGCCAGAGGGGGAAAGGGGAGGAGAAATAGCAGGAGCAGGAGGAAGATTGTCTCTTAATTGAAGGGAGGAGAGGGGGGAGGAATGGGTATATGAGGGTGAGGGTATGTAAAGAGTTTCTCAGTAGCTGTACATCTGCTGCGATTGTTGTTGAGGTTGTTGCGTAGGGACTTGGGGCTGTTGTTGTTGCTGCTGCTGCTCTGACTGTTGCTGCTGCTGCTGCTGTTGTTGTTGTTGTGGCTGCTGAGCTTGGGGCTGGGGCTGAGGCTGGGGCTGGAGGATATGATGGGAAGCGTCCTGGTTCTGGGCTACGGCCCTCCACGTCATGGGGTGCTGCTCGCCCAGCGGCGCCCCCTCCACAGCCCCGATGGAGTTGACGAAGGTGGTCAGGTTGAGCGACTGGGCCAGGGGGTGTTGGTGGTGGTGTTGCTGCTGGTGTTGATGGTGGAGGACGGGGACGGCCACGGGGACCGGGACGGAGGCCGAATCCTGGGCCTCGATTTGGATCTCCATGGGCCGGCCGTGCACCACGGTGGAGCCGCTGAGCGAGTCGAAGCTGACGGTCAGGATGGAGTCCAGCTGCATCTGCCTGTCCTGCAGGGTCAGGTTGGTGACGGTGATGGGCTGCAGGTTGGTGAAGTGGGCGGCAGCCACAGTGCTGATGTTGGTCAGGCCCACCGAGCTGGTGGCTGTGGTGGCGTTGGAATCCCCGAGCGTCACGACCACCTGAGAAGGCGAGAGAGAGAGAGAGAGAGGGAGGGGGGGAGAAACCAGATCATTAGACGGGTAAGGGTGGTCCTAGCTCGGCAAGCAGCGGGAAAGCTTGGCCAGACAGCGCGCGGTCTCAATGGCAGGCTACGGGGGTTTTAGCTGGTTAGACTCCTGCAGTTACCCCCAACGCACACTCTGGGTTCCCCCAAGCCTTGGCTCTGGCCAACCTGCACCTAACACTTAGGTGAGCGGGATGTGTCCCCTTCGGAGAGAGAGAGAGAGCGCATTCCATTCCAACAATCTATCTCTGGCATTCCCATGTGTAGGTTGGGAATCTCAGTTGGGTTTGGAGACTCTTAAAGCATTGGTGATGGGTTTCCCGCAAGTGTCAGACACCCCGTTGACCCAAAGAAATACGTCCACAGTCGGACGTTGCTGGGACTGACCTGCCGGATGTTGTGTACGGCCGAGTCTGTCTCGTCCTCCACAGCCACAGCCCCGGCGAAGGCTGCCTCCTTGTCAGTGAAGGAGTAAATGGAGGCCTCCTCAGCCGCGGCCACCGCCGACTCTTCGTCTTCGTCCTCCTCCTCCTCCTCATCTTCGTCTTCATCGTCATCGTCCTCCTCCTCGTCCTCCTCTTCCTCCTCCGTCACCACCGACGCCTTGTGCTTTTTCTTCTGGCCGCGTTTCATCCTCTTGACCCGGGTCATGTCCCCCAACTCCCCCTCGTGCAGGTTTATTTCCTGCTGCGAAGAACAGAACAGGCGCAGTTAAACGTGGGGAGAATTCTCTCTCCCTCGCCCGTTCCATCACACGTCCAATTCCCTTGCCAACCTGCGCCTCCCTGGAATTAGGTGAGCAGGAGGCGTCCCTCCGGGGAGAGAGAGAGTGCGCATTCCATTCCAACAATCTCTCTGGGATTTCCATGTGTAGGTGGGATGCATGGAATTCTCAGCTTGGTTTGGAGACTCTTAAGCAACGGTGATGGGTTTTCGAATAGCCCAGTGGGAATCTTTAACGTCCGCCTGGACACGAACAGGCAGACGGGAGCTCGGTTTAACGTCTCATCCGAAGGACGACGTCTCCGACAATGTAAGACAACCCCCACCCCCAACTCTCCAACCCCCAGCGCTGCACTCGCCATGCCCGATAATTAGGTCTCTCACCTCGGGGTGTTTCCGCCGCATGTGTCTGTTCATCGAGGCCCTGGTAGAGACCTTGGTCCCGCACAGGTGGCAGTTCTGAGCCTCCACCTTCTTGTGGGTCAGCTGCACGTGTTTGTAGAGCATGTACTCGGTCACAAACTTCTTCTCACAAACACTGCAGGTCCACTGCTTCCCCACTGCAGCGCAGGGGTGATGGGTGGGTGAATCGGGAGTGGGGGGGGGGGTTGGCGGGGAAAGGGTGGCATATCAGAATAGGGTTTGTTGCAGGATTGGGAGGAATAAACAAAACAGTCAATCAACCTATAAAATACACAACGCTACAGTAAACCCGCAGCAGTCTGATTTTCATAAATCGTATGATCGCCCAAGTCGTACGGGCACCCGAGTCCCATTCGGTTTCCTGTCAAACCCACTTAGATTTCTTTGCGCCACTCGCATTAATCACCTCCTAACTCGTAACGCCGCTCCCCTACCCTCCACTACCTCCCCAACTTATTGGCTGCATTGAATCGCGGGAAACTTAGTCTTATCCCATCACCCCATGTGCGCTTATTGGCTGCACTGAATTACGTAAGCCCAGTGTAAATTATTGATTAAATCGGCTTTGATATGGCTTATACAGTTTGACTGCAACTCGGATTTTGCGTAAGTCATATTCAGTGTTATGGTCTCGACTGATACAACTTATGCGAGTCTTGCTGTATTTTGTAGGAACCGTTAGAAATTTAGCAGCACAGGAAGAGGCCATTCGGCTTGAGATCGTTCACTGAAGCGATCGACTCTAATCCTAATGCTCAGTCCGGAGTCTGAGCTGTACTTACCCGTATGTAGCAGCTTGTGGTTCTCCATACTGTTCCTCTCACTGAATGTCTTCCCACACAGCTCGCACATGAAGTCTTTCACGCCTGTGGGAGCAGAACCAATTTAGACGGCTTTTAGCGCGTGAAAACATGTAGGTTTCAGCCCGGCTCGGTTGGGGGGGGGGGCGGGGAGAGTGGGTGGGGAGGGGGAGGAGGAGGGTTGGGGAGGTGTCTGAAGGCTGCGGCTTAAACCCCGAGGACTTGGCCAATGTCTGTGCGCAAAACAGTGGCTGTGTTTGTCCTACAAATGCACAGTCACTACACTTTGACAAACAACAACAAAATTACATTTGTATAGCGCCTTTCACGTTGGGAGGACATCCGATGGCGCTGGAGAAAGAGACTTTTCCACTTATTGGAGTGCTCTGGGATGCTCATAAGCGCTCTGGGACGCTACACTGCACGAGGGGCGCTGTATAAGTGCAAGTTGTTGTGGTTTCTGACATAATGGAAGCACTGTAAAAACACGCTCTTTCTAAAGAGGACCCTGCAAAAGACACCGGGCCCTGAGTGTCGTATAACAATAATAATGAAGTACAATCCTTTGATACAGCGTCTTTCGTATCAGGAGGACGTCTCAAAGCTTTGCTGGATTTAATGTTAGCAGTGATTGCGTACTTGTAAACGAAAAGTTGCAGCCAAATTGTGCACAGCAACGTCCCACAAACATCCATAAAGTGAATGACTAATTTTGTGGCGGAATCGTTGGCCAGGACATCTGGAGAAATTGATAGTTTTGATAGTTCACAGGATCCTTAACGTCCCACCTGAACAGCCAGAATAAGACCGAGATGGGTGTGTAAGATCAAATGTGGTATAATAATATAATACTAATAATAATCCTCGCATTTGATATAGAGCTTTTCACGTCTTCTAGACGTCTTCACAGGGATATTCTGTAAAATGAATTGACCGTATATTTGTGGGCGAAACTAGGCAGCCAATTCTGGGAATCAAACCCAGGTCTCTCGCTTGCAAGGCGAACGCTCTAACCACTGAGCTACAGGACTCCACAATATGTAAGCCAGGCCGGTGTGTAAGCCAGGCCGGTGTGTAAGCCAGGCCGGTGTGTAAGCCAGGCCGGTGTGTAAGCCAGGCCGGTGTGTAAGCCAGGCCGGTGTGTAAGCCAGGCCGGTGTGTAAGCCAGGCCGGTGTGTAAGCCAGGCCGGTGTGTAAGCCAGGCCGGTGTGTAAGCCAGGCCGGTGTGTAAGCCAGGCCGGTGTGTAAGCCAGGCCGGTGTGTAAGCCAGGCCGGTGTGTAAGCCAGGCCGGTGTGTAAGCCAGGCCGGTGTGTAAGCCAGGCCGGTGTGTAAGACCACCCAGGTACCTACCCGTGTGCCTCTTATAGTGCTTGAGCATGTTGACTTTCTGTGCAAACTTGCGGTGACATTCCTTGCACTCGTACTCCTTGATCCCCTTGTGCAGCTTCATGTGATGCCTCAGAGCGTGTTTTGTCTTCATCCCTGGGCAGCCGAGAGAGAGAGAAAGTTCAGTCGGTGTCGGGGTCACTCTCGACAATAATAGCAATCCTTGCATTTGATATAGGAACTCGTACACGTCATTGAGACGTAGCAAAGTGCGGCATAAGATATACCGTAAAATGAATTGACTGTGTACTTTGTGGGTGAAACTTAGCAACCATTTTGCGCACAGCAGCATCCCACAAACAGCCATGGATTGAGTGACCAGTTTTATTTGGGGGATTGTCGGCCAGGACACCGGGAGAGAGAGAAACCCCCTTCTCTTTTCGAGTAGCGCCGCAGGATCTTTAACGTCCGCCTGAACAGGCAGATGGGACCTCGGTTTAACATCTCATCCGAAGGACGGCACCTCCGACAATGCAACACATCCTCCCCCACCCCAGTGCTGCATTGGAGCGTAAGGTTAGACTACGTGATTCCAAGTCCTGATGTGTTCTGCACATCGACTGTCACACTAACCAGAGCAGCTCTGCGCCTGTCCCCTTCCCTGTATCCTCATCAGAGTTTTCCTTTCAATTGTTCACCTCCCAAATTTCTGATTTTAACAAAATAAGTCTTGGATTCGACGCAGCACCTTTTACATCGGGAGAACAACTCAAAGCGCTCACAGAAGTTTACCACAAACTGCAGTGCCTGAATATTTTATAGGCGAAATGCGACAGTTAATTTGCCTGCAATGATGTCCCACAATATGAATGTGCAGTTATGTCTGTGTGCATGTATATATATATATGTGTGTGTGTATATACATACACGGTATGTGTATATAGCTGACTGTTATATGGAGAGTGTGTGTGTATGAACATGTATGTGTGTATTCGTGTATTTGTTTGTATATACACGTGTATCTGTGTGGGGTTATGTATATACATGTTTGTGTGTGTGTTTGTGTGTGTGTGTGTATGAGAATCTGTGAACATGTATGTGTGTAGGAGTACGTATGCGAGTGTGAAATAGTAAGTTAATAATAATCCTTGCATTTGATACAGCGCCTCATCACGTCTTCAAGACGTCTCAAAGTGCTTCACAGAATATACTGTAAAGTGAATCGACTATGCATTTTGTGGGCCAAACGCGGCAGCCAATTGCGCACAGCAGCGTCCCACAGACAGTCGTGGGTTGAAGTGACCAAATTATTATTATTTGTTTTTTTTTTTTAAGGAGAATATTACCCTCGGAAAAGCCAACCGCCGATTGACTAACAACCGTATCTGTGTCCCAATGTGCTCGGCTCTTACCTTTCCCGCACTCTGCGCACAGGTAGTCGCGCACGTTGTCGTGAACCCTCATGTGTTCCTTCAGCATATCTCTCCGAGCAAAGGACTTGCCACACTGCTCACAGGTGTGACTCTTCACCCCTAGGGACCAGAGCACAGTGAGAGATCAGAGGCACAAACAAGTGACCAATAATAACATTAATAATAATAACCCTTTACATCATAATAGTATTTAGCAGGCTAATCGATAGAGATCGATTGCCACGATGGGTCAACACCTCCATTATTATTGGAGCAAGCGACTGCCAGGATGGTAGAAAGGAAACTAGATGGACTTTGGTCTTTTTTTCGTCTAGAAATTCCTATGTTTCTAGGGAGGCAGAGCGGAAGAGATTAAGACGAGCAGCTCTTTCAGGAAGTGGGCACAGATACAACAGGGCTGGAAGGCTTTCTGTGCAGTAATAATGTAGGATGATCCCTCACCTCCCTAACACGTTGTCCTCCCCAAACTACCCACCCTCACCACTACACTGGGACTTGATGCCTGGCAGTCAATCGTTCAGTATGGCAGTGGGTACTGGAATTAATAATAATGATTCTTGTATTTGATATAATGTCTTATCAAGGAGAAACTTGGCAGCCAATCGCGCACAGCAGTGTCTCACAAACAGTCATGGATTTTCTTGGAGGGATTATTACCCCCGAAAAGCGATCTGACGATCGACAAACAACCTGGTTCCTACTTACTGTTAGGAGTAAAGAAACTTGCCTAGGGTTTCGCCCTGTCCGAGCAATATCCCACAGGACTCCATGAATTGGAGGAAGAGATGAGAGTTGGGTGTGTCACATTCAGACATGGTCACCCTTCCCCTCACACTGTTCGTAAAGCTTCACTGTCGAGCTGTACGGACACTCGGCTGACGAACGAGCGCAAATAAAGATACACTGGCGCCAGGGGTCGGGGAAGATGGGTCTACGATGGGGATCTTCACCCGAGGCTTGGGCTGGCCCGTCCTTACCTGTGTGGATTATCTTGTGTCGTTCCAGGTTGCCTGTGCTGTTAAATATCCTTCCGCAGATATCACAGGGGTGGATGTACCTGGAGGAGCAGAAAGGGGAGAAATTGGCCTCAGCAGAGAGACAGACTGACCGAACGGGTTGCAAAACCCATAAGATTCGCCCACTAGACACAGTCACTCCACTTTACAGTATATTCTGCGAAGTGCTTTGAGGCATCTCAACGACGTGATAAGGTGCTAAATCAAATGCAAGGATTAGTATCATCATTATTATTATTATCAGGGGGGGGGCCGTGGGGGGTGGATTGTCAGCCAGGACACCAGGAGAGAGAAACTGCCTTCTCTTTTCGAGCAGTGCCGTGGGACCTTTAACATCCACTCAAAGAGGCAGACGGGACCTCGGTTTAACATCTCATAACAGCAGCACCTCCGACGATACACTGTCAGGGTGTGCGGGGTTGTCAGAGATGGGGGATGGGGATGTGGGGGGCAGGAGGGCGGTTGGAGCGAGGCTCACTTCTGCACATTGGGGTCCGTATCCGGCAGCTCCTCCCAGTGGATGACCATGTGAGCGTGATAGGTGGCCTTCAGAGCAAAACGCCTATTACATATAGTGCAGCCGTAGCCCTTCTCCTTGTGAATCTCCATCAGGTGTTTGAGGTACTGACTGCCTTTGGCAAAGGTGGCCTGGGGAGAGAGAGAGAGATTCAGAAACCAACACCACACACAACAAAAGCATTAAATTTATAGAGCGCCTTTCATGTCGCGAGGATGTCCCGAGGCACTGGACAGTCGGGGTCAGGACCCGAGCATGGGGGAGGGGTGGGGTAGGGGGTGAGGGAAGGTAGAGAGGTGGGAGGGAGACCAAAGGCACGATCGAAGAAGAGGGTCTTGAGAACGGCCTTGAAGGAGGCCAGGGAGGAAGTGAGGCGAAGGGACTGTGGGGATGGAATTCCAGAGTGTGGGGGCAGAGAGCCTGAAAGCCCGGCCGCCGATGGTGGGGGGGGGGGGGTCGGGCGGGAGATATGGAGCAGCCCGGAGCCTGATGGACGGAGGGAGTGGGAAGGTTGGTAGGGAGTCAGCAGGTCAGAGAGGGAGGATGGGGCAAGACCATGGATGGCCTTAAAGGTGAGGACGAGGATCTTGAATTCGATCTTCTGGGGGAAGGGGAGCCAGTGGAGTCGGACGAAGGTGGGAGCGATGGGGTGACGGAGCCTGGTGCGTGAGAGTACACGAGCTGCAGAGTTTTGGAGGATCTGCAGCTTGTGAAGGGAAGAGTTGGGAAGGCCGACGAGGAGGGAGTTCCCGTAATCGAGCGCAGTATTCACTGCTGGCGACAGCACACACGCACTCACCTCGAACAATAAATATTGTTGGACGTAACTTGCCTATTGTGACTATCTTTATTGAACTGATAATGCGACTTTCCTGCCTTATTCAGTAAAGCAAGGTCTCCTCGGAGTTACGTGTTTGGCAATGGAATGTCGGAATGGAGTCGGCCCTCTGTGGCGGTCTCGATAGTCTGGTTCCTGAGCCAGGCCGGTCCGCAGTATTCCAGGGCATTCACTGCTGATGACAGCACAGCCCCAGCCTGGATCATAGGCAGGACTTGGAAGGGCAGACCAGTCACTGGGGGCAGGGAATCCACCCACTCAGCTCCTGTTAACCCCTGTAAGCCAAAGCCTGAAAGGCAGGGGTGGTCCCAGCTGGACAAGCAGCGGGAAAGCTTGCCAGACAGCGCTCTCAACGGCAAGCTATGTGGGTTTAGCTGGTTAGACTCCGCATTTATCCGTGGTTTCCACATGTATCAGACACCCAGCTGACCAAAACAAAAGAAATCTTCACCCTCTCTTACTGTCCTCTCCTCCTCCTCAACAACCACCACCACAACAACAACTGGCTCAGTAACCCCGCTGCTCACCTGGCATTTCTTGCAGCTGTATTTGTGGGGAATGGGCTCTCCTGCTCCGTCTGATGTGTCCTCTGTCTCCTCCGCCGTGATCCCTAGTTTGCTGATGAATTGCTCTCGTTGCTGCTCGTTCATCAGGGGAATATCCTGCACACGAGATGGGATACACGTCACATTCACAGTTTCTGTCCCCAGTTATCATATTACAGTGCAGCTCTTCATAAATCTTCGTAAATCGTACAATCCCCTTAAACGGTACATTCTTATCAAAACCCACTTAAGATTTATTTGCACCACTTGTGTTAATCACCTCCCAACTCGTAATACCGCTGCCTTACCTCCATTACTCTCGCACTTACCGGCTGCACTGAATTGCGCAGCGTAGATTATCGATTTTATTGGATTTTATATGAGATGTAGAAGTTTGCCTGCAATTCGGATTTCGTGTAGGTCATTTTAATTGTTATGGTCCCGACCGATACGACTAATTATTGCTGTATTATTATGACTTGTTTGACTGAAATAGCCATCTTTACATGTGATGCAGCGCCTTTCACGTGGGGATCGTTATTACACCTAGGCTCGAATGCACCAACTCCCTGCTTGTCGGCCTTCCCAACTCTTCCCTCCACGAGCTGCAGACCATCCATAACTCTGCAGCTCGTGTCCTCTCCCGCACCAGGCTCTGTGACTCCATCACCCCCCACCCTCGTCCGGCTCCACTGGCTCCCCATCCCTCAGAGCATAGAATTCAAAATCCATGTCCCCGCATTCATAGCCCTCCACGTCCTTGCTCCTTCCTCCTTGTGACCTGATGATCCCATATCAACCTGTAGGCTCCCTCCACTCGGCAGGCTCTGGCCTGCCCACGTTCCCTGCCCGGCCCACCATCAGCGTCTCTGCCCCCACCCACTGGAACGGCATACCAGTCCCTTCACCTCACTCCCCCCCTTGCCTCCTTCAATACAATACAAGTTACATTTGTATAGCGCCTTTCAAGTCGGGAGGACGTTCCAAGGCACGTCTCAAGACCTTCCTCTTCAACCGCACCCTCGGCCACCCACCCATCTACCCTTCCTGGCCTCCACCCTTCCTGATCCCAACCCCCAGCTCGGGTCCAAATCCCTGACTATCCAGGGCCTTGGGACATCTTTCCGGTATCAAAGGCGCTATACAAATGTAATATGTTATCGTTGTTGCTATTTAATGTCCAACTGAATAGGCAGACGGGACCGTGACTTAACATCTCATCCGAAGGACAGCAACAACAACACAACAACAAAACTACATTTGTACAGCGCCTTTCACGTCGGGAGGATGTCCCAAGGGCCTGGACAGGCAGAGTTATGGACCAGAGCTGGGTCAGGGTGGGGGAGGGTGGAGGGCAGGGGAGGGGGAAGCAGGGAAATCGAAAGCACGCTCGAAGAGATGGGTCTTGAAGGTGGCGAGGGAGGGGGCGACTCGTAGGGACTGCGGGATGGAGTTCCAGAGGGCGGGGGCAAAATGGCGGAAGGCCCACCCGCCAATAGTGGGGCGAGCGAGGCGGGGTACGTGAAGCAGGCCGGAGCCCGCTGAGCAGAGGGAGCGAACAGGACAGTAGCGGGTTAGGAGGTTGCAAAGGTAGGGGGGAATGCAAGACCATGGAGGACTTGAAAGTGAAGGCACCTCCAACAACGCAACACCACCCCCAGCGCTGCGTTGGAACGTCAGCTTAGACCATGTTATTCCAAGTCCCGACATGGGGGCTTGAACCCACAACCTTCTGACTCGGGAGGCGAGAGCGAGGATGCTCACTGAGCCAGGTCCAGGTTGGGGTGGTGTCAGCACAGGCGTGTGTTACTGATGCCGATGCCTATTTACCTTGAAGTGGACATGCGTGTGATCCCTCAGCACGTCCACGCGGTAGAACTTACGGCCGCAGATTTCACACGTGTACTTCTTGTCCCCGTGCGTCAGCAGGTGCTTGTTCATGTTGCTGCGGCACGAGAAGATCTGGGTGGGCGAGAGAGAGAGAGAGACACACACACAAGATCACGGCGGAACAGAACAGCAGACGTTGTGTTAAAATCTGATGGGGACGTAACCTAAGATGACACCCCAGTGCAGCGCTGGGGGTGTGTTTCATTGTCGGAGGTGTCGTCCTTCAGATGAGATGCTAAACCGAGGTCTGGTCTGTCTGCTCAGGTGGATGTTAAAGATCTCACGGCGCTATTCGAAGAGTAGGGAGGCTCTCTCTCTCTCTCTGTCCTGGTCAACCATCCCCCAAATAAAATTGGTCACTCGCTCCACGACTGTTTGTGGGACATTGCAGTGTGCACGACTTACTGCTGCATTCCGCCCAAAAAATACCCAGTCACTGCACTTTTTAGTATCGGCAGTGAAGCACCTTTGAGACGTCTCGACAACGCGATAAGGCGCTATATATCAAATGCAAGGATTATCATTCTTACACACTTAATCAGCCCGTTTTTGGAACGGTATTTTTTTTTTGCATTTGATAAGAGTGGCTTTCGAATCGGGAGGACGCCTCAAAGCGAGGTAAACGCCGCAGCTGTACGATGCCCTCACAAAACAGGCAAGAAACGAACGAACCGATTTTTATCCGGGGAATTGTCCGGTAGAAACTCCCTCCATTTTTCGAGGAACGCAACTGGGTCTTTAACTTCCACCCGAACAATTAAGGAAGCACCTCTCGGAATCTCGCCCCCCCCCCACCCCACCGCCGGCGCTCCACGGAGGCGTCAGTTCCAAGTCCCAATGTGGGGCTTGAACCCGCAACCTTCTGCCCCGGGAGGCGAAAGTGCTACCAATTCAGCCAGACTCGCGACATATTTCCCCTCAATTAAAATGTATTGTTGGAAATAAAAAGCTTCATTTGTGGCCAGCTGTTACGACGGCTTAACATTACATTCCCTCAACATTTCAAAAGGATCAGCGAAGAGCGACCAATTTTTTTTATTTTGGTGGATTGTAGACTGGGGGAGAGAGAGAGACAAACTCCCTTCTCTTTTCGAATAGTGCCAATGAGATCATTAACGTCCATCCAAGCCCATAGTCGGGACCTTGGTTTTAACGTCTCATCCGAAGAACCGCACCTCTTGACAATGCAACAATGATACTAACACTTGTACAGAATCCACCCCTTCCCTCATCCACCCATTTGTGTCTCTATTTCTTCAAATCGGGAGGTTGGAGAGAGAGAGAAAGAGAGAGAGACCAAAAGGGAAGCAGTTAATGCTGAGAGGGGTCCATCCAACGAGATGACAACAACAGATATGAATAATAATCCTTACATTTGATATCGAGTCATTATCAGACTATACTGTGAAGCCAATTGATTGCGTATTTTATGGGCGAAACGCGGCAGCCAATTGCGCACAGCAGTGTCCCCGCAAACAGTCGTGGTTTGAGCGACCGCCAGACGACCAACAACTGGTTTCCTATTTACTTCTAAGTAAACAAGAGGCCTGCGGAATGAGGAAACTTGCCTAACATTTTGCCCCGACCGGGAATCGACCCTGGTTCCTCCCGCGAGTGCTCTAACCACTACGCTACAGGACTCCACATGGAGGTGGGGGGTGGGTCCCATCTGGAGACAGACACAAGGGCAGAATTGACGGGACTAAACGAGTGGCCTTCTCTGAGCTGCGACATGTTTACTACGACTGTACGATTCTTATGATAAAGCGTGCGAGTGCATACATCACCACTTGTACCTTCCCACAGACAGGACACCCGGACGGCTCCTTCTTATACTTCACCACCCCATTCATCTCGCTCTCCTCCTTTTTCACTCGTTTTACACCTGCTGTGACAAAGGAAGGGGATGGTGGTGGTGGCGGCGGTGGTGGTGGCAATGATGGGGAGGAGGGAGACCGAGGAAAGGGAGGGGAGAAAAAAAACAATAATGATAATAAATCGTCTGTCACCCAATTGGCGCTCAAACTCCCCCCCACACACACCCCTCCACACAATCCTCTTTATCTCCTGAACATAGCGCCTCTCATCCACTCCGTTCCACCTCACAACCCTCAGCCACTCCCCTCGCCCCCCCCTCCCAATCTCTTCGTACCCTGCCCTCTCCCCTGCTCCCCCTTCCCCTCGTACCCTCGGAGTGCCTCCTCTGGTGATCCAGCATCACATCTTTACGGTAGAACATCTTGCCGCAGGTGTCACAGGAGAACTTCTTGTCTCCGTGCTTTTTCTTGTGCTTGGACAGGTTACTGTTGGTGGAGAAAAATCTGAAGCACATGTCACACTGGAAGGTCTTATCGTCTGGGGAGGAGGGGGGTGGAATGGGGTCGGGGGGTGGGATGGGGGGGGGGGGGGGGGAGAGGGAAAGAGGAGCAAGACAAGTAAAACAATAATTATCCTCACATTCGACATGGTGACTGCAGCAAAACTCGCAAGACTCTTATCTTTATAAACATATAATCGCCCAAGTGGTACATTCACCGGATTTCCATTCAATTCCCTACCAGAAACACTTTATTGATTAATAATCAATAAGTATTTAATTATTTATTTATTAATAACAACGTGCTTGATCATGTCATTCAGCCGTCTCAAAGCGTTTCATAGAATATACTGTAAAGTGAATTGACGGTCTATTTCGTGGGCAAAACGTGGCAGCCAATTAATTGCGCACGGCAGCGTCCCACAAACAGTCGTGGATTGAGTGACCAAATTATTATTATTATTTTTTTGGAGGGAATATTACCCCCGGAAAGCAGTCCGCCAATTGACTAACAACCGGGTTCCCGCTCACTGCTAGGTAAACAGAGGCGTGTGTGTGAAGTAAGGTGCTGTCGGAGGTTGCGTCCTTCGGATGAGATCCCGTCAGCCTCTTTAAGTGGATCTTAAAGGTCCTGCGGCGCTATTCGAAAAGAGAAGGGAGTCTCTCTCTCCCTGCCCGACGATCCCCCAAATAAAATTGCTTAGTACTTACCTCATGGCTATTTGTGGGACGCTGCTGTGCGCAAATCAGCTACCGCGTTTCGCCCACAAGATTCACAGTCACTGTATTTTACAGTTGATCCCGTGAAGCACTTAAGAGACCTAATAATAATAATCCCTGCATTTGATATAGCGCTTTTCACGTTTTCTAGACGTCTCACACCGTTTCACAGAATATACTGTAAAGTGAATTGATGAAACGCGGCAGCCAATTGCGCACAGCAGTGTCCCACAAACAGTCGTGGATTGAATGACTAAATTACTATTGTTTTTATTTTTTCTTGAGGGATTGTTATCAGGTGTGTGGAGTAAGGAAACTTGCCTAAGGTTTTGCCCTGCCGGGAATCGAACCCAGGTCTCTCGCTTGCGAGGCGAGTGCTTTAACCACTGAGACACGGGACCCCTGTGATGTCCTCCCGACGTGAAAGGTGCTATATGAAACGTGCAAATTATTACTATAAGTAGGGCAACCGATTTGCACATAGAACGGTCCTGCAAACATGAAGTGGGAGACTTAATCTGCCTGGGGAGATGCCTCACAGGACACTTTTGAGAAACTCCCTTCTGTTTTCACACAGCGCCACAGGATATTTAACATCCACCCGACACACATAGACAGGACCTCAGTCTAACATCTTCTCTGAAGGACGGTGGTGCCTCCAACAACGCAACAACAACAACAACTTGCATTTCTATATAGCGCCCTTCAAGCGGGGCAGCATCTTGGAGCGCTTAACAGCTGCAGAGTCTGACACCGAGCCGGGGTGGGTGGATGGGGGAAAAGGGAGGAGGTGACTGTAAACACGGTCGAAGAGGAAGATCTTCAGTCGTGATCTAAAAGAGAGGCAGGAGGGGCCAAGAGGGAGGGAATTGGGGGAGAGAGATCCAAAGCTGTGTGACGTAGCGGCTGAAAGGGCGGCCGCCGATGGTGGAGTGAGGAGGCCGAAGAGGTTGGGAGACACCAGAGAGCGAAGGGATTTGTAGACGAGTGAGAGGGTCTTGAAATCGACCGGTTCGGTGCTAGGGGGCCAGTGGAGCCTGGCGAGGACCGGTGTGAGACGGGGAGGGGTGGGGCAGGCACGAGTCTAGTGCGGGTGGCGGAGTTCTGAATCAGTTGTAAGTTGTGGGTATTGGAGCCGATTGTAGTCAGACCAGGCTGATTGACTTTGAGAGGCTCACAGTCCCTGACAGTGGGGGACGTGGTGGTGGGGGGGGGTGGGTGGGTGGGGGAGGGCTGGCCCCCGAACCTTTCTGACCTGGGAGGCAGTGTTGCTGATCAACCAAGCCAGACTCACACCCACTGACAAGCCGAATCACATTTACCTCTTTTACCTGTTCGGCAGTTGTGAAACTCCAGGGCGGTGCGGATACGAAAGGCCTTCAGACACGTGGAGCACTGGTACATGTAGATCTCGTCCACCTGCAGGAGACATCAGTGCAGACCCGGATCAAACTCCGTGCCCACATCTCACCAGTTCTGGCCCAGTCTCCACTGGCTCCCCATCACCGAACGGATCGACTTCAAGATCCTCACGCTCGCGGTCGAATCCCTTCACTCTCTGGCGTCTCCCAACCTCTCCGGCCCCTCACTCCCCAATCCACCACCCGGTGCCTCCGCTCGACTGGCACCAGCCTCCAGCTTGTCCCTCGCGCCCTCAGCTTCACCATCAGAGGTCGCGCTTTCAGCCACTACGCCCCCAAACTCTGGAATGCTCTCCCTCAGTCCTTCCGCCTTGCCCCCTCTCTCCCATCTTTCAAGTCCCGCCTGAAAACCTTCCTCTTCGACTGTGACTTCCTCTTTGACTTCCTCCCCAACCCGGCTCGGAGTCAGGCTCCACCACTGTTAAGCGCTCTGAGATGCTACCCTGCGCGGAGGGCGCTATATAAGTGCAAGTTATTGTTGTTGATGTTGAAAAGCAGCACAACGATTGCTATGAGTGACTGCAATGGCAAAGCTCCACAGTGCCAGTCCTCACTCAGCTCACACCAGTCCTGAGTCAACTGAATTGGCCTCAGCGCCACTTTGTTGGGGAACAGTGGGGGTGGGGTGGAGGGTGGTCGGGGGGGGTTGGTTAAAAAAATATTAATAATAATAATGCTTGCATTTGATATAGCGCCTTATCCCGTCATTGACACGTCTCAAAGTGCTTCACAGAACATACTGCAAAGTAAATCGACTGTATATTTTGTGGGCGAAACTCGCCAGCCAATTGCACACAACAGTGTCCCACAAAAAGTCGTGGATTGAGTGACCAAATTAGTATTTATTTTGAGGGGATTATTACCCCTCGGAAAGCGATCCACCAATCAACTATTGGGAACGGTTTGTGGGACGTATATCCAGAAAAATAATAATAATCCTTGCATCTGATATAGTGCCTTATCACGTCTTCAAGACGTCTCAAAGCGCTTGATTGAATATACTGTAAAGTGAACTGACTGTATATTTTGTGGGCGAAATGCAGATAGTTTATAATAATAATAAGTTTAAAAATAGATAAGATAGTGATCAGGAACAGAGACCCAGTGGTGGCACATTTTCCCTTCCCTTCCCTAACCCAGTGACGGTGAGATCATTCACAGAGCCTTGCCTTCGTGCCTTCCCCCAAATAAAACTGGTCATTCACGTCACGGCTGCCTGTGGGACATTGACTGTGCGCAAACTGGCTGCCGCATTCGCCTACAAAAGAAAAACACAGTCACTACACTGTCAAAAGCGTTTCACAGGATATACTGCTAAGTGTCGCGACTGTTTGTTTTGTAGGGGAGCGGAGTAGCACAATTTGCGCACGACGTCATCCCACAAGCAGTCATGAAGTGACTGAGCCGATTTTTTAAAACTTGACAGTATATCCTGTTTACTTCCTCCTGCCACGAAAGGTGCTGCGTCACATGCAACGGCAGCAACTTGCATTTATACAGTTCCCTTGGTGGGACGTCTCAAGGTGCTGGACAGTGGAGGGTTTGCACCTGAGTTGGGGGTTGGATTCTGGAAGGGTGCAGGGTAAGAGAGATTGTTGTTATTGTTATTAATACAGTAAAACTCACATGAGTTTAATTGACTAAGTCGTACGTGACCCGAGTCCCATTTAGCTCTGCATCAAAGCCAGTTACATTTCTTTGCTCAGTTGTATGAATCACCTCCTGACTCGTAACATCGCTCCCCTAATCTCCATTGCTCCCGCACTTACCGGCTGCAGTGAATCGCGGGAAACGTAGTCTTGACCCGTTGACCCAGGCACAGCAGAACTTCCAATTCCCGCGATTCAAGGCAACTCCAAATCTTGCCGGTAAATTTCTTCTGCATTCACTTTATTGTCTTTCCTAAAGTGGGTGACCAATACTGGGCACAATATTCCAAGTGCGGTTTAACCAACAATTTAGAATAGGAACCCGGTTGTTAGTCGATTGGCAGATCGCTTTCCGGGGTTAATAATCCCTCCTAAAAAAATAATAATAATTTGGCCATTCAATCCACGACTGTTGTGCCCAATTGGCTGCCATGTTTCGCCCACATAATATAGTCAATCCACTTTACAGTATATTCTGTGAAGCTCTGAGGCGCTATCCTGCGTGGAGGGCGCTATATACGTACAAGTTGTTGTTGAAGCTCTTTGAGCCATCCAAACGAATTGATAAGGCGCTGTATCAAATGCAAGTATTATTATTATTTTATTATTTATCACTATCTCTTTGCTTTTTTGACAACTTCGTCCAACCGCTCTCCCACCTTTAAGGATTTAAGTACGCTAAACACCCCCCCACACCCCCCCCCCCCAAGTCTCTTTGCTCTTCCACTCCTTTTAATATCTTACCACCCAAAATTTACTCAGTTCTTCGTATTCCTTCTCCAAAAATGTATGACCTTTCATTTGTCCGTATTAAATTTCATTAGCCGTTTCCGCCCAATCGACTAATCTGTCAAACTCCTCCTGAAGTTGCTTGCAATCTGATTCATTTCCTATTGTCGTGTCATTTGAAAACGTAGAACTCGTGGCCCCTATAACCAGAATCCAGATCATTTATATAAATGGAGAAAACCAACGACCTAACACTGACCCCCGGCGAACACCACTATTTATGTCTCTCCATTGTGAGTAACAACCCTGTTACTTCCACCATCTGTTTCCTAACTTCAACCAACTTTCCATTCGTTCTGCTACCTTTCCACCGGGAAAGCCTGCCAGACAGCGCCATCAATGGGAAGCTATGTGGCTTTAGCTGGTCAGACTCCAGCAGTTATCCCAACGCTCACTCTGGGGTCCTCCAACCTTGGCTCTGGCCAACCTGTGCCTAATACTCTCCAGAATTAGGTCAGCAGGGTGCGTCCCTCCAGGGAGAGAGAGAGAGAGAGAGTGCGTGGTCCATTCCAACGATCTATCTCTGGGATTTCCATGTGTAGGTGGGTTCTCAGCTTACTCTTAAGCATGATGATGGGTTTCCGCACTTGTCAAGACGCCCGGTTGACCAAAAAAAAAACATTGATGCCATTCGCCCAATTTTTTTTGAACAAGCTTCTTACCCGGAACCTTATCTAAGAAGCCATCGATCCACCCGCTGACTGACTGGCAGCTCAGTCCGCCAATTACAGCCCCTCGTCCCGCCCTCTGACACTGACCGACAACCGACGCAGCCGATCAAATGTCGGAGATTGCCCACGGCCAGCAGAGGGGTGGAATCAAGTCGGCCAATTCTGATCTCGTACACCCCACCCACCGTCACCCAATTCCCCCCCCCGCCACCACCCTACTGTGTCCTCACCTCGTTCCTACTGTGTTTGTAAGAGACGTGCTGCTTCAGGCTCTCTTTCCGGCTGAACTCCTTCTCACATTCATCGCACTTGTAAAGCTTATCACCTGTGGGGCCAAAGCAAGTCCAGTCAATATAATAATAATCCTTGCGTTTGCCAACGCGGCAGCCAATTGCGCCAAAGATGTTCCACAAACAGCCGTGGGTTCAGTGACCAAATTATTATTATTATTATTATTATTGTTTTTTGAAGGGATTATTGCCGATCCACCAACCGGGTTCCAATTTACTGCGAGGTGAACAGTGGAGCAAGGATTCATCCCAAACAGGAACCGAACCCGTGTCCTCTCGCTCGCGAGACGAGTGCTCTAACCAATACGCCATGGGATGCCACTTGCGAGGCAGACTCCACAAGACTGCCTCGCGAGGCAAGTTCGTTAACCACTACGCTATGGGACTTCCACAATATCTGATAACTGGTCACTCATCACCGAAGCCCTCTTCTCCCTTGGAGCGACGAGCTATCAGGCGCTTACTGTGTAACAACGATCCTCGCATTTGATACAGCGCCTTCTCATGTCGCCGAAACGAGCGCCGACCTAAACTGTGAGCGGGGATTGAACCAAGAAGCTTCTGACCCGAGTTGATCATTTCATTCAGATGCTTTGAGATGTCTCACGATGATGACAACAATAAGGCGTGAAATCGAAATACAAGTTATTATTATTGCTATTATTGTTGTTATTAACCCACGCACTTCTCCAACTTTTCAGCCACTGCGCTCCCGAGATCCTGGAACTTTCTTCCTCTATCCTTCCGCCTTGTCCGCTAGCTCTTCCCCATCTTCAGGTCGTGCGCCTGGACATCTTCCTCTTCGGCCGGACCACCCCATCACCACACACATCCCGCCCCACCCCACCCCTCACCCGGCCTGGCTTGGGTCCGCCACTGTCGAGGGCTTAAGGGATGCTATCCTGCGTTAGGGACCGCTCTATAAATGCAAGTTGCTGTTGTCGTGACCTGCTCCTGGGCAGGGCCTTACCATGAGAGCGAATGTGACGCTTGAGGTTGCTGCTGTTGTTGAAGATCTTGCTGCAGAGGTAGCACTGGTAAGCCCGGTGGTCTCCGAGACGCCTCAGCACCTTCCTGCGAGAGTCCGGCCTGCGCGAAGTAACAACACCGGCCCCGTCAGCAACTCGAACGTTTGATACGCGCCTTTCGCGGGATTTGGTTTTTACGGTGGCGCTTTTTTCGCCGATCAGGAAATTTACCCCCACCCCCCATGTCCTCACTTTACTTTTAAACCCCCCCCAAAAAAATTTGGTCACTCCCCAATTCACCACTCGTTGGCGGGGACGCAGCCGTGCGCAGTTGGCTGCCGCGTTTTCGCCCACAAAACTTTACAGTATATCCTGTGAAGCGCTTTGAGACGCCTTGAAGACGTGATGAGGCGCTACATCAAATACAAGGGTTATTATTATTATTATTATAATAATATTCGCCATTGAAACGTTAGATGGCTGGACACAATTGGAAAACGAGTTTCTTCTGGCAATGCCCAGGTAAATCCGGGCGTTCACGTCATGAGATGAGTGGGTGCTTGGGGTGGGGGCGGGGGGCGTCAGCGTGAACACACAGGTTATCAACGGGAGGTGGTGTGGGGGTGGGTGACGGGGGGTGAAGAGGGGTGGCAGGAGCGGTGGCAGCTTGGCTTAGCGGTGGCGCTCTCCCTCTCGCCTCTGAGTCAGAAGGTTGTGGGTTCAAGCCCTCACATCGGGATTTGAAATCACAGGGTCTAGGCAGACTTTCCGAAGCAGCGCTGGGGGCGGGTGCGGTGGGAGGGGGGGTTGTGGGGGGGGCTGCATTGTCGGAGGTGCCGTCCTTCGGATGAGAACGTTAAACCAAGGTCCCGTCTGCGCCTGTTCAGGTGCATATTAAAGAGCCCGTGGCGCTATTCGAAAAGAGAAGAGGGTTTCTCTCTCCCGTACGTCCTGGCCGACACATCTCCCAAAATAAAAAATGCGGTCGCTCAGTCCACGGCTGTTTTCGTGATGTGCCTGTGTGCAAGCTGACTGACGCGTTTCGCCCACAAGATCCAATACACAGTCACTTCACTTTGCAGTACACCCTGCAAAGTACTTCGAGATGTGATAAGGTGCTGGCAAGGATTAATATTATTATTTCAAGATCCCCTTGCTCGTTTTGAAATCCATCCATTCCCTGGCACTTCCCTACCTACACGATTTGCTTACCCCCACCCCCCCCACTCCATCACCCATTGCCTCCGCTCGGCCGGCTACGGCCGTCCCGTTCGTCCCTCACTCCCTCCTCCGCTCCACCATCGGTGGCCATGCCTTCAGCCACTACGCCCTGAAACTCTGAAACTACCTCCTTCTCTCCCTCCTTCCTTCGTTCCCCCCCCATCTTCAAATCCAGCCTAAAGACCTTCCTTTCTGATCGTGCTTACCATCACCTCTCCCCACTGGCTCGGTGTCAGACTCTGCCACCGTAAAGCGCCCTACCCCTGTATAAATGTAAGGATTATTACTGTATTTATTTATGATTATCAGGAGCTCCTAAAACATCGAGAACTTGCCTGAGGTTAGGACGTCCGTGTCGGCCGTTCCTCAGCATCTTCCCGGGAACCACAGTTCCCTCCGGCTTCTCCTCGGGGGCGGGGGCCTCCAGTGGCGCTTCCGGCACATCGGCGTCTGTAGAACGCTCGGCCGCTGAAAAGAGACAGAGCCCCAGACAACGCCGTAAGAGGAGAGACGCCGTGAGATAAAAGGCAAAATACCGCAGACGCTGGGGACGCTCAGCAGGACACGGGCAGCATCTACGGAGAGAGGAACGCGAGCCAACGTTTCAGGCCGATGGCCTTTCATCGATGACCTTTCGTTGAGGCGCTAACTCACTCTCCTCTCTCCATCGATGCTGCCTGGGATGCGATGAGAGACTGCTTCAGGCCAGCTGCCCCACTCCGCCCACCCCCCTCTCTCTCCGACTCGGATTTGATCCGTCTATTTACGTATGAAAACTGTGTGGATAATTGGTCTGCGAGTATTTCTGCCTGGATGTACCTGGCTTCCCTTTACCCCATTCCCCCCACACATCACGCAAGCATGTACCACTCACCTCCTCAACCCACTTTGCCCTCCACACTCCGCTCACCCCACGCCCCCCACCAGTCTCCCCTCACGTAACAACATCAACAGCTATTTATATCTATACTGTGCCTTGCATGTCGGTAGGACGTCCCAAGGCGTTGGACAGAGAATGGTTAGCAACTAAGCTGGGGGTTGGGATCAGGAGGGGTGGAGGTCAGGGAGGGTGGGAGTGGAGGATAGGGAGGGTGGGGATGGAGCATAGGAAGGGTGGGGGTAGAGGATAGGGAGGGTGGGGGTGGAGTGTAGCCGAATGCAGGGTTTAAGAGGAGAGACTTAAGACTGGCCTCGAAGGAGCCAAGTGAGGGGGCGAGATGGAGGGGCTCCAGGATGGAGGGTGGGGGTATAGAGGATGAAGGTCCCACCGCCGATGGTGGGGAGGGCATGGCGGGGGTTATGAAGTTGGCCAGTGCCCCCCGAGTGTAGGGAGCAGGCAGGTTAGTTTGGTGTTAATAGGTCGCAGAGGTAGGGAAGAGTAAGACCGTGGTGGGCTTTAAAGTGACCTTCCGGTCTCCCCTCTCCACATACCAGTCTTCCTCACCACCCCGGCCTCACCTAACATTCTCCCCTCAACCCACCATCACATACAGCAACAACAATTTGCATTTATATAGCGCCCTTCACAAGGGGTAGCATCGAGGAGTCCTTGAGACTGACATGTGAGGCTGAAGTGGGGAAAGGGGGGGGAGGAAGGAGACAAGACTGATACATACCAGACTCCCCTCACCCTGCCTCACATATCAGTCTCCCCTCTACGCCCCTCACATTCCAGTCTCCCCCCACCCCCACACATACCAGTGTCCTCAGACCCAGTGCGTAGGGGAAGCTCCCGGGCGGCTCGCTGTGACCCTTGGACCTCGCTCCGCCCAGCCGGCTCCCGGCGAGGTTTCAGCTTGCGAGGCCTCACCGCTCGGGGCTTGGGCTCCACCTTGGCCGCGGGGGCGGAGGGGGTCTCAGCCTCCGTCACCGGACAGTCGGGGGGCACGGGTCCCGGACCTTTGCTCCCCGTCGAACCCTTCGTAGCCGGAGAAACCCTGTGGACCTTTTCCAAGTGACTCATGAGGTGCTCTGGGGAAAAATAAAAGAAATATTTTTATTTACTATTAATAAAAATAAAATAATCCGTGCATTTGATATAGCGGCTTTATCACATGGTTGAGACGTCTCAAAGCGCTTCACAGTGTGTGAAGTAAATTGACTGTATAATTTTGGGGTGAAACGGGGCAGCCCATTGCGCACAGCAGCGTCCCACAAACGGTCGTGACCAAATTATTATTATTATTCAGGAGGGATTATTACCCCCGGAAAGTGATCTGCCAATCGACTAACCACCGGATTCCTACTTACTGCGAGGTAAACGTTCTGGAGTAGGGAAACTTGCTGAAGGTTTCACCCTGCCTGGGAATCAAACCCGGTCCTCTCGCTTGCGAGGCGAGTGCTTAAACCAACATGTTACAGGACTCCACAAGTCCTGTAGCGTATTGGTTAAGATTCTCCGCCCGGGAATCGAACCTGGGTCGTCTTAAGTGACAAAAAAAGGGGAGAAATTGCAAAGTTTACAACACTTGACACGCAGAAATGCTCAAATCGCCTACACAGGTACAGGGCAATCCTATTATAAGGTGCCTCTCTGGATATAGGACATTTAGTTTGTTCATAGTCACTGGAGACAGGGAATCCTCCCACTCAGCTCCTGTTAACCCTGCAAACCAAAGCCCTAATGGGTAGGTAGGGTGGTCCTAGCTGGACAAGCAGCGGGAAAGGTTGCCAGACAGTGCTCTCGATGGCAAGCTATGGGGTTGTAGTTGGTTAGACTCTAGAAGTTACCCCCAACGCACACTCTAAGGTCCCCCCAAGCCTTGGCTCTTGCCATCCTGTACCTAATAACAGCAGCAATCCATGCATTTGATATAGCACCGTTCATCTTGCCAAAACGAGACTGTGACAAGGTGACCAGGGAGCGGGGGAGCCGACACTGAGCCAGGCTGAGACAACAGGCACTGACGAGAGCCGACACCCCCAATGGACTGACCTGTGAGTAGCTGTGGCTCTGAGAAGACAGCGGAACAAACCTTACACGGCCATTGGCTGAGTGGGGAGAGGGGTGGGGTGTGGGGAGAGGGGAGAGGGTGTGGGGGGAAAGGAGGGATTATATATATATATATGTGTGTGTGTGTGTGATGTATATATGTCTTATTTTTTTAAAAAAAGAGGGGAAGGAGGAAAATAAATGAAACGGTGGTGTGTGTGGGTGTGGGGCTGTGTGGGTGGGGGGGGTGGTTTGTGTGGGTGGGGGGGGTGTGGGTGGGTGGGGGTGTGTGGGTGGGGGGTGGGGGTTTGTGTGGGTGGGGGTGTGGGGGGGGTTGTGGGGTGGGGTGTTGGGGGTGTGGGTGTGGGG